GGGCTGGCAGACAGGGTAATACCCGATCTTTATCAATTCCAAGGTGAGGTGGAGACGCAGCCCGCTAGGTTTCAGACAGTCAGTGCGGAGCCACATCAGCTAATGCTCTTCCACAGGTGCCAGGAAGAGAAGGTGCAAGTATTCTGATTCTAGCCCCACCAAAAGCAGGCTGCTATCCAAAGCCTCACAGGTTTGAGCGGAGACAACCCGTGCTGTTCCAAGGTCCCCGGGGACTTTCCACAAGGAGACTTTCTCATCTGCTAGTAAAACATAAGGGCTCTTGAACATGGCTGACAGATCTGCACACAAAGAGGACATGTGTGTTAACAGTCTCAAAGACCTGTGAGAAATATGGAAAAGAAGGAATTCGTGTTTCTAACAACAACGGAAACAGTTTAATTATGGAGTAGCTAGTGTTCTCATGTTCAGGAAAAGAGGGGAAATACATTCTTAAGACCAACTCAGGAGAGACTCGTCAGAGAGCAGGCCTACCCTTTGAACACTTGCTGCTGTCCTCGGCCCAGCCCGGTGACCGTAGCATCTTTCAGTATCGTCTTTAGCCCCTTATCCACAGAGACTTGGGCAATGCCGGCTCCCATCAGCCCTGCACCAAGAACAGCTAGGTGCCTGAAAGGAAAGAAAAAAATGGTTTTGGTAACAACTCTCACTCAATTCAGTGTAAGTGGGAGATTGCCCAAGTTGTCATCCAAAGAGAGAGTGAGCCTCCCGTAACTCAACAAGCTGACACAGCAATACTGTGTTTGAGAACATTTTTAACTGTAAAAATGTACTTTAGTAAAGAATTGACTTCAGAGTTAAGTGCAAACATCCATTAGGTCTAAAAGAACTAGTATACCCATGGGGATAGAATTATATTGATCTTGGCTCATGTCTGGAGATGAACAAAACCAGCTTGCAGTGTTCAGCACAGACTCACCATCCCCTCCGATTGCTTGTTAGTGCTGTTACCGTCGCTAGTCATCTTTGATCTCTTCCAGTGTGCTCTTTTCTTCTCGCCGTCCTTCCAGTCACGGCCGCTCTGCGCCTTGATGGTCGCAGCTTCCAGACCTGACCCTACGCCAACGTGCCCCCACCTCCAATTCCTCCTGGGCTTCTCAGGACTATTTAGTAGTCCCCTAAATACGCATGGACAGCTTCATGTGCATTACTAAACGCATGTAGTAGGAGTATCACATTAAAAGGCTCAGAAGGCGACTAGACATGAAACAGGCAAGCCGCAGCTAACGGTTCCCTCGGGGCAGGCTCGAGACATGACTTCAACAACCACAGAAAGGTGATGAGGCCTTTCTGAGTTTGTTTTATACTGTAAGAGAGGAAGAAGCGTGTGTACCCAGAGATGCTATCTCAAGTCATAAGATTAAATAAGGTCATTCAAGTGCACGCATGTGTGTGCTTGATTTAGCAACTCCAAACTAAACCCACTGCTCTTGAGGGGCTCCGACTCAGAGCAGCCCTCTGAGACGGAGGAGAAGGGCTCCCCGCGCTTCCTTGTAAACCTTGACAGGAGCAGACACCGTGCCTGTCCCTGCTCAGAACAGCAGGTGGGTTTGAACTGCCATCCTTGCAATCAGCAGCAACTTCTCGATGATATCAACAGCGAGACAAGAAGCTCCTTCTCTCATAACCACTAGCTATTAGGGCCTTGGAGAAAACAGGATTCAGGGACCTAATGTGATCGGGATAGCAACGTGTGGGCAAGACAGACTTAAGAGGTGAATCCGGTCCTGCTGGTCTCTGAGCTGTGCCACTCGGCGAGTGCCACGGGTCTGCACAGACACAGAGGAACTTACTTCACATCCTTCTGCGGGGTCCCGAATTTATTCTTCTTGCACAGGACCTGACCGTGGTACAGTCCCATCAAGGCCTTGGATTCTTTGGTCATTGCAAGCTCTCCAAATTTCTGCCAAGAAAAGGGGAACCACAGAGGTAGGACTTGCCTGCCTGGCGGGCGTCTTCACCCCCGCCCCCCCAAGGGCTTGCCGACCCCTGTGTTGAAAAGGTCTGTGTGTGGAGAGCTGACATCTGTCTGTCTACCCCAGGAGGCTGCGGTCGCCCCTTCCTTTTTCATGCACTCGGAGTGTCAGAGTCAGAAGGGCCCTTCCCAGTCGTCTCATCATTGCTCGATGTTACAGACAGGGAGAAGGCTGCCCCGAGGGATGACGTGATTCTCCTCAGGCAGAACCCCCAGTGCCAGTGCTCGTCCCACGGATGCAGGGCCCCACAGGATGCAGGCCACTTGAATAAGCATCTTAACCCTTGCAGAGAGCATGTCTCGACTTGGGGCAGGTTTAAAATCCAGGTTTGCCAGAACTGGGTTCCAATGCCGGCCCTGCCGTGGCCCAGCTGCCCTCCTTAAAATGGGCAAAACTACAATCGGTTTCAGAAGAAGCTGCCGGGAGTAAACGAGAACGCTAGTAAGAATGCCAGGATGCTCCATCTTAGGGGTTATCCTTACACCTCTGCTACAATGTTGCAGATAGAACATCAAAGGAGGCAGCCCTTGACTAACTGTTGCTTTTCTGCCCCAGAGAGCAGCAAACAGTGTTTCACAGACTTGGTGTTTTGCTCATGTGGACACAGCATGCTCAAGGTGGTAAACCAGAGTTTTTCAAAAGGTGGGTAGAGATCCATCAGTGGCCATGCACTCTGTGGGTGGTGAGAAGCCATCTCTATCAAAAACCCAAACCCTACCCACTGCCGTGGGGTCCATCTATATAAAACACTGAATGTAAAACACACACCATAAGGCTACTTATTGACTTGTGAAACATATGCTTTATTTTTTTCTATATTATGTATATGTGTATATGTGCTGCCGAAGCAAGCACAGTCTATTATGTATATATGTCTCTGTCATGTTAAAAAAAATCAGAAATACACTTCAGTACAAGAAATATTTTCTGTAGAACGTTATCCTGATTTCTTCAGCTAACTCCTGCTCTGTTGTCAAGGGCTAATCATTTAAACATTTCCTTTACTCCTCCTCCCCTTGAAACTATCCAATCCTACAAAGTCACCTCTGTCTTCTTTTCCTGGGCATAGGACCCCACCTAGCATGTTCTCATTCCTCAAAAGTAGGCCAGGCTCTGGTTTCAACTCAAGACCCTAACATTCTATCCCTGTATTCAGATAAACAACAAACCCAGCCAAGTGGAGGCAGAAGCCCCAAGCCGGTTCATGGGGTCATGGTGCAAGGCTGATGACTGCTCCTGGAGCTGCTAGTTCCAGCCTCAAGTTCAAATGCCCGTGCCCCCCCGCCCCCCGGGAGCATCTCCTTGCTCCCTCAGACTAACCATAAATCAAGGGAAATAGAGGAAGGAAAAGAAAGATCTTATTAGGCTTTGGATACTTTTTTTCCTTTTTCCAGCTTTATACAGAGAATCGGATCTTTGGGTTTCCTATAGCTAATAATACAATTTTAAAATGGAAAGCAACAGCTTAAATTTTACCTGGGATTCACAGAGGTAGCCAGCATCACTTCCTTTCTCGATACCAGTCTTTACTACCTAAAACACACAGAAAACGCTTGTTCAGCACGGGAACAGACTGGTGGGATACACAAAACGCTGAATGCAATCGTTAAGGTGGTTAGTCTGAGAGTCTAGGATGGCGTGAGACAAAGAAGAGGACTGAGGGCCCGTTTGCTCACAATTGGGTTGAATTCTCCATGCGAGGCCACAGCTAGCGCTAGCATCCATGCGAGCAGAGGACAGACAGAACAGAGCTTCCATAGCTCAAGCTCCTCTTCCCTCCCCCTCTGAACCCTGCTGTTCTGTCAGAGCAAGAGCACCATCCCTCCCCACGCCCTTACCCCCCACCCCCAACTACTTCCCCAACTACATCCGCCTAAAGGGCTCCTCCAGCTTCCCTGTGCCCCAGTGCAAGCGCCCTCCCGCCCCGCCAGCTGGGACAGAACGAAGAGCTCAGTGCTGGGGTGCAGGGCCCAGATGGCCAACAAAGAGCTACTGCTCCGTGAAAGGGGAAGGGACATAAACACGTGGCAGTTGGGGGCACAGACTCACATCGATGATTTTCAGAGGTGCAGGATAAAGGCCTTTGGTCTGTTTTTGTACTTTTTCTTCTACCTTTTTGTAAATCTGCTGCCTGACATATGGAATAGTCATGGCGTACGACATCAATTCTGTAAGGCAAAAGGGGTCACATACTTCTTGGAAAGAGCTTTGCCTCTCTTGTTAGCTTGCTCTGTAAGCGCCTTTAAAATATAAGCAGGAATTAACTGCTCTTTATGTTGCAAGATGCCCAAAGCACCTTTTTAAACATGGGTTAGTCAGCTGATAAATGTTTAAGTTGGGTGGGCTCATGTATAAAAGTATCCAAAATAAAAAGTGTAAGGATAAAGAGAAACAAGTGGCCATCTAGCTGAGAAGCAACAATGCCCATAGGAAGAAGCCCACCAGCCCGTGTGACCATGAGGTGTCCATGGGATCAGGTATCAGGCATCAAAGACCCAGAACAAAATCATACCCAATGTGAGTGGGGGTGTGGGGAGAGGGTATGGAGTGGAGACCCAAAGCCCATCTGTAGGCAATTGGACATCCCCTCACAAAGGGTCACAGGAAGAGATGAGCCAGTCAGGGTGCAGTATAGCACCGATGAAACATACAGCTTTTCTCTAATTCAGCGGTTTTCAACCTGTGGGTCGAGACCCCTTTGGGAGTCGAACGACCCTGTCACAGCGGTCATCCAATTCATAACAGTAGCAAAATTACAGTTATGAAGTAGCAATGAAAATAATTTTATAGTTTTGGGGTCACCATAACATGAACTGTATGAAAGGGTTGCAGCATTAGAAGGATTGAGAACCACTGCTCTAGTTCTTAATGCTTCCTTTCACCCCCTATCATGACCTCAATTCTACCTTACAAATCGGATTAGACCAGAACATGCACACTGCTATAGATAAGGGCCTGCACCACAGGGAATCCAGGACAGATAAACCCCTCAGGGCCAACAATTAGAGATACCAGGAAGATAAGGGGAAGGTGGGGGGAGAGTAACAACAGAAAAGTGGGTGAAGGGCAACAGAGGACGATTTAAGATATGAAAGATTTTTTTTGAAAATAATAATCTATAACTTATCAAGGGCTCATGAGGGAGGGGGAAACGAGGAGCTGTTATCAGGGGCTCAAGTAGAAAGAAAATGCTTTGAAAATGATGATGGCAGCATATGTACAAACGTGCTTGACACAATGGATGTGTGGATTGTGATAAGAGATGTAAGAGCCCTAAGTAATATAAAAAATAGTGATCACTTATATAAATTAAAAAAAAAAGTGTAAGGAAAGGCCTCAACTGAGCAGCGTAGGTCCGGCTCAAGCCCAGGGCGGTGACACTCCTGAGGGATGGCTTTGAGGGCATCAACCACGGACTCATGGCCATCCCATTTGGGGCCACAGCAAGTAAAATGAATCCCCACAGAGACATTTTGTCTTTGCTCTTTAAAGATGACACTCACTTTCCATCAACCCCTTGTCTCTCTTTGGAGAAATCTTCTTGTCAGCTAGGCCTTTGGCAAAGTCAACGGCCACTTCCTCCAGGTACTCAACTGTCCGCTCCTCTGGCGGTTTTATTCCTGGTCCTACAGAAGTGAACACAAAAGACTACATTGCCAATCAGGCTTTGAGCAGTCCCTGGCAGGCAAAAACCCAGGGGGCACAAAGCAGGAGGCTCTAGCACACATCTGCAGCACCTTTTCCATCTTAGACCGAGACTGGCAGGTAGCAGAATCATGAACTACAGGCCATAAACCAAAAAATCAAATTCACTGCTACTGGGTCAATGCCAATTCACCGGGACTGTACAGGGCAGGTAGAACTGCATTTCAAGACTGTAACTCTTTCCCAGAGTAGAAAGCCCTGTCTTTCTCCCACGGGCCCAAAGAAGGGGATTAATACTGAACCAAGGTGCAACACCAACATGCTGCAGGCAGAAAGCAAGGTCTAAAATGATCTCAGTGAGCTTCCACTCCTGAGAAGGGGTAGTATGCTTCATGAGGCCTGCAGGCACTCTGCGGCAATGGGGCGAAAACGAGTACATCACGATTCTAAAGACACTGAAATGTGTGGAAGCAACCAAGACCACATGCACTAATGTTCCAGAGACCTGGAAGTGAACTAGTGACTGCTCCAAGTGTTACCTTGATTATGGATTTTAGCCATCTGTTTATGATGCATCATGATGCCAAAAAAAAAAAAAAGTGTTATATGTAGAATTCATTGAGTTCCTTGGATATGTGACTTTGTAGTTTCCATCAAACTTTCTGGCTATTGTTTGTTCAAATATTTCTGTTTCCTCTTTCTGTTGGTCTAATTTCATATATATACATCATTTGAAATTGTCCTCAAATAGACCCCTTTCTTTTGTTTGGAATTTCAGCTTGAATATTTTCTATTACCATGTATTCAAAGTTCACCAAGCAGTATATAATCTTCAGTGTATAATCTCTGCTACTAATCCAGTTCCGTGCATTTTTCATTTTGGGCATGGGCTTTATCTTTTAAAGTAACATTTGGTTCATATTTTATATCTTCAATTTCTCCTCTCTGTGTCCTGCTTTCCTCGCCCTTCTTGAATACATGACACATACTTACATATTTATACTAACCTTTTTAACACGAAGCTTGCAATTCTATCATTCTCTGCTGCTTCTGGCTCTGTCTCTAGCCATTGTTTTTTCTCTTGATTATGGGATATTTTTATTGCTTGGTTTTATAATTTTGTTGGACATGCCTAAGTACTAGATTTTGTTCTATCCCTGTACCGGTTTTGGACGTGGTTCTGGATGGGGTCCCTGGATTCTCACAGGCTTGGTTAGGGCCGATCCAGAGCATCCTTTATAGTCGGGAGCGAGTTCCGTCCCACTGCCCTTCACACGCACCCTGGGTCTTTCCGTGGAGTGGAAGCAGTGGCCGGCCCTGGTGTGTGTCCTGCACCAAGCTTCATGTGGCTCTTTCCCAGCCGCTGATGGATGTTTCCCATGGCACCAGGTGCGAGCCCCAAGGGGCCTATGTGGGTGTCCTGGGTCTTATATGCAGGGACTTCAAAAAAGTTTGTGGAAAAATGGAACGAAAAGATAATGAAAATTTCCCATGAGCTTTTTGAATCCCTGTTGTTATTTACTTGTAGGCCCTCTTCTTTGTAGAAGTGCATTGTGTCCTACATATTGTGGCACCCTGAGGCCTTCCTAGCCCATTATACCTGGCCTTCCACTGACTGAGAACCCCACAAACGGCCCAGGGAGGACTTCTAGCGTTTGGTCTGCTTGGAACCATGAAAAGCTCTGGTGGTTTACTCTTCCCCAGAGGTTCCCTTCTGTGTGAGCCAAGTCATCACACTCCTGGAAAGAAAAGGACCTGGGGTGGGAGGGAGAGTGGGAGTACACCACCAAAAATATAGGCCTGATAGTGGTTATTTGCTTATATGTTAGAATAATCAACCCCTGGAGATCAAAAGAGCAGCGTTTACCCAAGGACAGAGGGTCAGGAAAAGAGGACAAATGGAAACAGCAAACACCAGGAAGAAGTAGGACCCGCAATGGTACATCGAGAAGATCAGCTGGATGAGTGCAAATGAAATGTTTATAAATTGTTGAATGTAAAACTTATGATCCGCCCTGTAAACTTTCACCGAAATCATAACCAAAAGTAAAAAAAATAAAAAAATAAAAAACCCAAACCCACAAGGATATATTTTTACTATCCTATTAGAATGTCTGAAGCTAAAAAGATTGACGTGGTGGTGCTGCTCTGGGTTACGTGTTGGTCTGAAAACTGCAGGGTCGGTGTCTCAAACCCACCAGCCGCTCTGTGGGAGGAAGATGAGGTTGTTGACTCACGTACAGATTTAGAGTCTCGGCAACCCCGTATGAGTCAGAATCAACTGACTGGCAGTGGGTTTGGGTTTTAATTTTTATGGGGTTCATAGTAAGTGGCTGGTAAGTAGAACTCATCCCTTGCTGTTTGGAAGGCAGAAGGATAAAACCACTTTGGGTTAAGGGAGGCAGTTTCCTCAGAGCTAAACATATATCCAGCATATGGCCCAGCCAATCCACTCTTTACTATTTATCCATAGCAATGAAATGTGGATATATGCCAAGTCTTGGACGGGAATGTCCACAGGAGCTCTATGGAGACTGGAGACAACTCAGACGGCCTTCGTTTGGTGGACGGTGCGCTATCTGTCCGATGGAGTAAACTTAGCAACAAGAAGGGAAAAGCACCGGCACATATGACACTGTGGGGGTAAAACTCGAAGTCTGCCCAAGGAAGGAAGCCAGAAGAGGCCACACGCTCGAGATGTCCTGTGCTATGATTACAGTGGTGCTTACACAGCCAGACACACGTACAATAGGGATGAATTTACTATTATGTAATATTTCAGTAATGCTGATTTAAAAAAAAACTAGTACAGTGGCTTCCTTGCGTAAGGAAAGGCAAAAAAAAAAATCTGGAGAACAAGTTATATTCTAGTTTTTAGGTTAGTTGCTTCACGTTTATTACATTACTGACACAAAAACTGAAGGAGCGTTATGCACGACATAGGTAACTTAAACATCAACAATAAAGCCATTTCAAGAGTATGCTCTTGCTGTCCAAATTATCAGTAAAATACAAATTGAGGTGACAGGAAAAGTGATTCAATACTAGCTATTTTAGAAAACTTCACTCTTCAGAATGATTTCAATATAACAAGTGTTAAAGAGAGTACTCTTAAGAAAGTAATTAACTCTATAAACCTCCTTGAGACATGTTAGCACTTACCCAAGGGCTCCACCAATTGGTCAACTAGTCCCATTTTCTTTGCTCTGTCTGCCCGAATGTTTCTGCCAGTCAGCATCATGTCAAACGCAGCAGGCATGCCCACCTAGTAACAAACAAAGAGCAAAGGAATGGGAAAAATAAAATCTCAGTGCAAATAATTTAAATGAGAAAAAAACCAACCAGCTTTTTACATTCTTTATCAGTAAATTGGGTGTCTCAACTGCTGAGAGACTGGATGTTCAAGTTCACAAGGGCATCCTGGAAGAAAGGCCTGGTGGTCTTAAAGAAGTCAGTCACTGGAGACTCCACGGGATGCAGTTCTACTCTGACACACACGGGGCAGCCACGAGCCACACTCAGCATGGCAAGCTGTGTGCTAGTCAATACTGGCACACATTTAGATAACTTTGGAATTAAGAATCTCACAGCAATAATTTGGGGTTTGAGAGCAAAATTCTTTCACTCTTTCAATTCATTGTATAGGATTTCTATCTTAAGGGATCAATAAGGTAGGAACTAAATAGATTGTTTTACAAAATTATATATTTGTCATTCTTAGATTGCCCGCTTATCGTTTGTAGAATATTTTAAATTCCCATATTGACATCAGTAGAGACTATGAGAAACCTGATAGTTCTGAAAATGTCTATGGACAGAATTTTAGGCTGGGGTTTCTCACATAGGATACCAGAATAGCTTTAAGCAACAAATACCAATTCCAGCAAAGAACAACATAAACACCAGCAAGTGTTTTCTACACTACTACAGAGACTTACTCATTCACGCAATGAACCCTCTGGACATTTCTATGAATATCATGCCTATGCACGCACGAGTCTGAAAACTAACACCATAGCCCTCCTATTCTCCTGTACTCGGTTCATATCAACTTCCCTCCAAAGAGTATTTCTGCTGGGCCTTGAGGAATTTATATCATTCAAAGCTGTGCACTTCAGGAGGCTCTCAAATGTAATTAAGATTGCTCTACAGCTGTGATAGTCAAGGTTTGGGGTGGGCCTACATTCTTAGTGGTTTGACAATTAAGACATAACAACCCTGCATGATGTGGTCCAACACAATATAATCACCTCAATGATGGGATCTGCTATGAGCAGCCAATTAGTTGTAAGATTAGCGTAGGATGCAGCAAGCACCCTGACTCACATTATAGCCCTGACCCAATCAATTGAGAGGAAGTTTGTTTAGGGGTGTGGCCTGCTTCCAATATAAGTGGACACTCTGGAAAAGCTTGCTTGTTTTTTGGTAGCCCAGACCTCATCCTCTGACTTCTGGTTCTTTGGACTTGAGCTCTGCTGATCCTAGGAGACTGTCTACCTTGTCTTCAGTCTCTCTTCTACAGCCAGAAGCCTGCCAGTTGACCTGCTGATCTTGGCATCACCAACCCCTGCCTCTATGCAAGGTCAAGAGAAGCCTTCAATCTGACATCTGATTCATGGACTTGTCTACCTTTACAACCGTGTGAGCATTTCTTTGCTATAAACCTTTCTTTATATGTATATAAGCTTCAGCATCCAGGTCTGCTTTTTCCTTCTTTTCAGAATTCAAAAGTCTGAGAGTCCTCTTTTGGTTCTATAGGGTGGGATAGCGAAAGGTTTTTCCCCGGGTTGTCCCCCCAAAATATGCCAAACCTAAGACCACATGGCCATTGACTACACACTTGGAGACAACTGCTTAGAGGTTATCTCCCCAAGGGTTATCAGCCATCTAGAACAGTCAGGCCCTACTGTCCACCCTAACCCAAGTGGGAGTCACTCCCTGCTGAGAAGGACAAAGATTGCTTCCCTGAAGGAGAGCCCAAAGCCAAGGTCAAGCCAACTCAAAGAGGACCAAGGTTAGGCTGCCATCTTTAATCTAGAGTCCACCCATCTTGTCACATCTGTACCCCTAGTGCTTCTCCTTACTATTGCGTGTACACCCCCAGCTCGTCCCCCTTCTATTGCATGTATACCTATGGTACAACCCCTTCACATTATGATATAATCAGGGAGGCTTGCACGTCCCCGAAAATGTATATAAGCCGCAATTAGAAATATATTCACATTCTCTACGAGGACCTGTCTGATGGGATCATGGCCATCCCGGAGGTGAGCAATTGCATACTCTATCTTGTCTGATGTCTCTTTTAATTTTACCCCTCAATTACACAACCGCCCCTTGGACCCATTCAATTGTGGGGGTTGGGACCCCACACTGTGGAATACAACAATGAGATTCAAACCATGCAATGGAGGGAAAGAAAGGTCTACTATATGCTCTATATGAAATATGACCCATGAATATGAAAAAAACAAACAAACCAGTGAAGATGGTCCTGCAAAGAGAGAGACAAATTAAACTATTAGCTCTGGAAGGCCAAGACATATACTTTACTTACCTATATTTTTCTTCAGCATCTAAAAAAGGGCTTTGATCAATAATTTGTGGAAGTAAAAAACAAAACAAATAAGTACCAGGGCTAGAAGTATACCATTCATTTTCCATAGTCACATATTATTTGGCTTCCATATTTTCTACAACAAAGACCCATAGTATGTGTTTTTGCATAACAGACCTAAAGAAACACAGAGGTACAGAAGTTTCAACGTTCACAGAGGGGCCTTAAGCTTACCATTTTGGGGAGCCTTTGTGTGCCTCCTGCTCCCGGTAATATCCCCAGCAGGACTTCAGGGGCGCCTAATACTGTTTTTCTGTCTTTTGTTGCTATTCGGTATTGGCATGAAATGGCAAGCTTCAAACAAATGAGAGAAAATTAGAATGCTAGAAAATGTAGCTTTCTTCCCTTTAAATTTCATTTATTGTGTCATTATTGATAATATACACAGCAAACATACACCAATCCAACAGTTTCTGCATGTACAATCCAGGGACACTGATGACAGTTTTGAAGTTGTTCAGCCATTGTCAGCCTCCTTTTCTGAGTTGTTCCTCCCTTAGTAACTTTTTAACACAGTTCTAATGACTTATAACCCATGTACGTTACAATTCAGTGGTTTAAACATATTAAAGAGTTGTGCAACATCCCTTATTCATTTAAACTATTTGCCCATTAAGGTTTCTGTCTAATCTTTCGACTTGCTGTTGTCAATCTGATCCCATATAAATAGTTCTTCAAAGAGCATAATGCTTAAGACAGATCATTTCTTAACTGGTGAACTTGAACTATTAACTTAAAGATGAAAGATGTCTGGCTTAAGGTTTAAAGGGTGACAGTTTCAGGGATTCGTCTACCCTCCACGGCCACGAGGGTTTGGAATCCGTGAGAATTTGAAATTCTGTTCTGTACTTTCCCCCTTTGATTAAGATTCGGCTGTGGAATCTTTGATCACAACATTCAGTGATGGTAGCTGTGTACCACCCAGTGCCTCTGGTCTCTGGGCACAGGAGGCCGTTGTTCATGGGGGCACTTAGTCACACGTCCCAAATCCCTTTCCTGTTCCTGACTCTCCTTCTTCATCTGCTGTTTCAGGCTAGTAGAGACCAATTTTTGAGCCTTTGATGGCAGCTTGCAAACTTTTAAGACCCCAAGCAACAAACTAGGAGTTGGAACAGAAGCACTAAACTTTTTAGGAGGCCAAACATCCAGAATGTCTTGTGAAACCAAGTCCAAGTGGTATTTGATTGCCCATAAGTGGTCCCAGCTCTTGTTATCCTTGTAGTAAATATGGCACATAACTTGCCCGTTCAGTCTTTTAGAGATGTACAACTTACTGACAGCAATTACAGCAATCAGTGATACAGCCCTCTTGTGAATCACTGCAATTTTAGAAAATGCAGCTGTATAATAATACAGTAGTGTCTATGACGGTGTAAAGATTACTTACAAAGCAGGAAAATGCCCACAGTCAATGGGAATTCTTGAGGCTGGCACTTAATGCCTTCTATAATTTGTCTTATCAGACTTAGTTCATACTTTCTCCCTAATATATTAATCTCTGTTTCGGCTGCACCTCTCCTTAGAAATCTGTTGAAAGCTCTTGAGAGAAACACACACAATTTTATCTGGACCTCATGTTAAGCAGTCTTGTTTGTAGGCTCCTTTCCAACCAGGTGGTAGACTCATAGGCTCTGTTTATCCCAGCCTTTGCTTACATCATGTCAAATGTGAAAGGCTTTCTCCATTACTCTCTAATTAATCAACTCTGCTCATCTTTTAAGGCTAGGCTCAGATTTCCTTAAATAATATATGTGGCCCTGTCAAGCACAGAGCCCAGCACATGACAGATGAATGCTCAGTAAACATCATTTTCCCTTTTCCTCTCTCATCCTCAATGCGCACAGAGCGCCTCACCAATATGGTCCCTCCCGGGTGTCTCAATTACCCAAAACAGCTCCCGACCACGGCAGGCACTTCTGAATCTGTGCCTTCCAAAACCGAACCAGGTTTTCAGAACTGAAAGGAACCTTCAAGATCTAGCTCAAGCCTTGGTTACATAGTTAGTTATTGATAGAATAAGGGTTAAAACATATCCGGAAGTGTGATAACCAGAGGGAAAGTTGATTCTCTTCCTCAAAGAGCAGTCCAAGGCTTACTGCTGGTGACGCAGTGACGAGTGAAGCCATACCTCAAGTCCTCCTCCCAAGCAGGATCCACTGATGGCAGCTACAATCGGCTTTGAGGACTTCTCAAGCTTCTCAAACATTCTCTGTCCTTCCTGTGATAACTGCGATACTTCCTGAGCGGTCTTACAAGCGGCTAACATGCTGCGATGTCCATGGGAAAAAACGGGGGGAAACAGACACACACACACACACACACACACACAAAACAGAAGATGAAACTAGATTGTCTACTTTGCTCGCGATCCTACATCCACTGCATGTAGCAAACCCTGTGAGAAGCAGAAGTTCTGTCAGTACAAACCTGTCAGGGACGGAACTTCCAGTGGCGTCTACTCTAACGCGTGAGAGGAGTGTTAAGGCTGTACTGTCAATGGCAGAACCCTTGTGGGCCTGGGGGACCCCAGCAGGCCTAGTGCGTTCAGCCTTCACAGGTTTCACTGCACTTCTCTGTCAAATACCAATTTTTCAGATGCACTAAGAGTGATATTTGGCTTAAGATGAATAAGCACTAGGATCAGCAGCATCACCCTTTTTGAAGCAGTTCAATTCCTGGGTCCATAGGGCATGAAACTGTGTGTTCAATCATTTATTTTTGCTTCTATAATAAAGCTCTGTAGAGGAGACGACCATGTTTCCACTACCGGAGAACGGTCAGATTAAGCAGCAAGCAAAACAATAGGGAAAAATCATGGCTTCCAAGTTGTTTGGAGGATCCAGACCCTTTAAATAAATCCCTAGTAATGAAAAAGGTTGTATGCAGTTCAGAAAGTCTCAAAATGCAATCAAAACTCACTGGCATAAATCAATTCCGATTCACAGTGTCCCCAGAGGACAAGAAGAACTGCCCTGTGGGTTTCCGAGACGGTGTGGACATAGAAAGCCTCACCTTCCCCCTTTCGGTGCCTTATAGTTGTACACAATGTCCTTTCCTACCAGTCTCTTCATCTGCTGTCGACTTGGAGTCTAAATATTCTAAGCTTTGGGGTTGTGTCTTTGTACTTTATGTGCTGGCGGTTTGCTCAGTGAGCATGCATTTTCCTGCGGATAAAAGGTAGCTACTGCTACCTTTAGTGTCCAGCTAGGCTCAGGTACCGTATATCCTCAAGTATAAGCTGACCCGAATATCAACCAAGGCACCTAATTTAACACAAAAACTGCACTAAAAATGTGCTGAAAAACTCGGCTTATACTTGAGTATATGGTAAATGAGTTAGGAGAAAGAACACATATGTTTTTCCTGCTGCTAAAAACAACAACAACAACAAAACCCATCAAACAAGCAATATTCATTCATTTCAAATGATTATAGGCACACAAGAAAGGGTACACAATGTGGAGCAAAGTTAACAAAAATACAAACACCTTACATACAAATTCCTAAGCTTATAAAGGCCTTAAAAAATTCACGGAAAAGTAAAATGAAAATCCTCCATGAGCGCGAAGAAAATCCTCATATTACAAATACCCATATTTGACAGAACTAACCTATGAAACTAATCATGGTATATTTCCCCCTCTACACTCTTAACATATATAAATGAACCCCGAAAGCAATCGACCATTTGAAAGTAAGAAAGCACGCGCTGCCTTGTAAGGTTCCCGGACCATCCTCTCAGCCCGACCACCCACTGACATGTCCTGTGAAGTCTTTCATGCTTCACAGAGGTACATCCTTCTAAACCAACTCTATGTATTTATACCCATAAACAAAGAGACAAACAATCTCACATAGGGTTTAAAAACACGTATACAATGCAACCACGAGGTGTCGAAGGGATCAGGTGTAAGGCATCATCAGAACAAAAAATCTTACCATAGTGAATGATGGGGGGAGTGTGGAGTGGAGATCCAAAGCCCATTAGTAGGCCACTGGAGATCCCCTTGCAGAGGGCTCTCGGGGAGGAGATGAGCCAATCAGGGTGCGATGTAACAATGATGAGAAATACAACTTTCCTCTAGTTCCTAAATGTTTCCTCCCCGCTCCCACTACCATGACTCGAATTCTATCTCGCAGGACTGGCTAGACCAGAGGAGGTACACTGGTACAGATAGGAACTGAAAATACAGGGAATCCAGGACGGATGAGCCCTATAGGACCAGTGGTGTGAGTGGCGAAACAGGGAGGGTAAAGGGCAAATGGGTAGGAAGGAGGGAACCGATTACATGGAACTGTGTGTGACCTCCTCCCTGGGGGACAGACAACCGAAAAGTGGATGAAGGGAGACGTCGGACAGGGCAAGATATGACAAAATACCCATTTATAAACTATCAAGGGCTCATGCGGGAGGGGGGAGCAGGGAGGGAGGGGAAAAATGAAGACCTAACGTCGGGGGTTTCAATGGAGAGAAAATGTTTTGAGAAACGATGTACAAATGTGCTTTACACAATTGATGTGTGTATGGATTGGGATAACAGTTGTATGAGCCCCTAATAAAATGTTAAAAAAAAACCAACACGTACACAAACGATAGACTGTATGAAATATTCTGCAACTTACTTAAAAAACAAACAAAAAACCTTAACAATGTTTTGAGATCGAACATTGTGGATCTAGTTAATTAAACTGTTTTGAAACATTTTACCATGTGACTATTTCACATGTTACTTATCCATTTCCTTACTGGTTTTAAGCTAGTTTCAAATGTCATTCTTTTAAACAACACTGGATGAAGAGCCTCCCGCAGCATAATGAACAAAAGCTGTGATTTCTCTCGTGTACGAAGCTAAGAAAAGTACTGCTGGGTCACACCACACATGCATTGAAAAATTTTAATAAACACTGCCAAACTGCTGCGAACACATGACATTTTCAGATTTTTAAATCCTTGCTGTTCTGATAAGTTAAAAAGGACTCATGTCAGTTTTAATCATAAGGCATTTAAAATTTTTTTTCAATTATTCTAATCAAACTCTTTTTTGAGCTTCTTTCATATTCTTTCAGGAGGGGATAATTGTTGCAATAAACTTCTCTATCAATCTTACTGTATTCAAAAGGATAATTTAAGGGAAAATCATTCAGGAGATTTATTTCTATCTTCTTTTGAAAGGCGGCATTATTAACCTCAAGAAACATACAATTAATGAAGACAAAAGGTGAGTTTAAACTTCTAACACTTACTTGACATCAGCACCCGCAATGAAGCAGCCAGGCTTGGATGAAATAAGGACGGCACTTCTGATTTGGTCGCTAGCCCAGATTTCATTCATCACTTCATTAAACTCTGTCTGTAGTTCCCTATTCAGTGTATTTACCTGCCAAAGGAAGTGCATAAAACCTGAGAACTGAAACTCCAAGTGCCAGATGTGCATATCACCATGGAAAGTCATTTTGATAGGAGGAAATATGTTTATCCAGCAGAAATACATTATTCAAAGCAAAGAACTCTAAAACCCAAACTCATTGCCATCCAGTCGATCTGACTCATAGTGACCCTATAGGACAGGGTAGAACTGCTCCAGGGCGTTTTCAAGACTGTAAATCTTTACAGGAGCACAAAGCCTCATCTGTCTCCCACTGAGCTGGCTCATGGTTTCGAACAGTCCAGCTTGCTGGTAACAGCCCACTTGTAACCCACTCTACAAGGGTTCCATTAAAAAGAAAGAGGTGGAAATTGCCCTCTAGCCCTCGACCCCCTTGTGGCAGTTACATAATCTGGTGTCAACTGGAGACTATTAAGAGTGAAGGGGTGGAGTCTAGTCTGTCAATCAGGTTGCAGCTTGATAACCTCATTTAGAGGCAAATAGCTCACTGGAGGCCAGGCACACATTCTCCGCTACACATTCCTGTTGACAAGCCAAATGGAGCTAAGCTGATGAAGCCAGAGCCCTGGAGCTGGAAGAGCCATGCAGAGACCCCTGCCAGCACTGAGATGCTTCTACCGCTACTGGATCTACAAGACTTTTCACCCACTGTCCTGTGATCTTCCTGCATTCGGCATCATTGCATGTGTTGCTTGAGTCTGCAAGAATTTAGCGACTGGTATTGGACATATGGGCTAATATCAGATTTATGGACTTTATCTGGACTGGGTGGGATGTTTTCTTAATATACAATTACTCTTTGATATAAAGTTCTCTATTACACACATATGAGTGTCTCTAGTCCACCTGGACTAACACACCCCTAACACAAACAAACAAAGAACCAAACCAACACAACCGATAGCTTTGGTTAATGATAAGCACAACTCCCTGAGGAATTCAGGCTCACATTCATAGAAGTTTAATTACATATCATTGTAAACAAGTCTACAAATACTAATTCCCATGAAAACATTGTCTAACATTAGGGGGAAAATGAATCAAAATAAGAAGACAAGCAATTTACTGAAACGGCATTAAATGCTAAAAGTGATTGTCCTTAAATTTGGATTATGAATGTTTGTTATCGTCCTTTAAAATATATCCCCGGTTTTAAAATCTCAATAGGCAAGTGTTATACTTGTGTTCAGAGAAAAGGCTCCTGACAAAGTACCTTAAATGTGACTTGCTGGTAAGTGGGTGCTAAGAGTCACTCTAGTGACAAGAAACAGTCTAATGTTTACCATTTCTGACCGCTGTCAATGGCTTCCATCTAGGACTTCTAATTCACCCAGGCTGCTGGCTACAAGACTTCTGAAGTATCACATCTGTACTAATTTTAGATGGGGGAAAAGCATGAGTCTCTGCAATGAAGCTCTTGGCAAAAGACTGGATGCATGCTGCATACTTTGTTCAAGTGCCAAGAACAACTCAAGTTCCACTCTGAACAGATCCCCACTTCCAGTATGTGAATGGCACAGAGTCTTTCCAACCTGTTGGCAAGCTTAAGTACCACTGTCCACATTTAAGACAGCCAACTTTCCCACCATGAATACCAACTCATGTCAGCGGCAAGGAGGGAAGAAAGCAAAATTTATAATTTGGAATTTAAGATTGATAAATGAAGCCTGTACATCAGTTCTTAGTGAATACGTCACTTCCCCATTCTACACAGTAACACAAGGCCATCTCCCTAATCCTCCCGTTAACCTGACACCTAAGGTCAACATAAGGGACTTTTTTTCTTTTTTAAAATGTAACTTAAGTAGGGGTTTTCATTCCAGGTCTTTACATTTGTATTTAGAAGGCCTTTTTACCCAAGGACCCTTGCTTCAGAAATCTGCCTTCCTTGTCAAACCCCAACTAATTCAAAGATCAAAAATTTAAGCCCGTATATTATTGTCAAATAGGTGAATTAATTTTGTTCTCATTCAGAATTGAATCCACTCATGGTATTTAGTAAAAATAAACTGGAGCAAGTTAAGTACCTTTGAATTGGGTGAGTTAATTCGAACAACTGCCACATCCCCTTTGACTCCATAGTTAATGTGGGTTCTGGCTAGAAAGAGAAGGAAAGCATATTCATACATAGTTATTACTAAATAAGTCTGAAAATCAACATTAGCATATCTGCAGGAAATTAAACTCACCCAGCAAAGCAGATGACCTAGTAAAGCTGCGGCAAATATAACCTGTAAGAAAAAAGGCATTTCAAAATTATTTGCAAAGCAGAATTTCTGTAGTACCTGTTACCCATAACAAAGCTGGAATTTACCACGGAAAATAGGTCAGAAGAATAAATTCAAAGTCATTATTAAAACTAGTATTACAATCACTGTTAGTGCGTCAATCTAGACTCCTCACGGCTCTTTGGAGAGAGAACTACCCTATGGAGTTTCAGGGCTGTGAATGTATCTTTAAATGTATGTTTTTGTTATTTTTTTTTTTAATTGCAATTTGGGTGAAAGTTTACAAAGAAAATGGGTTTTCAAGGGTTCAAGTAGAAAGAAAATGTTTGGAAAATGATGGCGACATATGCACAAGTGTGTTTGACACAATGTATGTATGTATGGATTGTGATAAGAGCTGTATGAGTCCCCAATAAAATGATTAAAAAGCACAATGAGTTTTCTACTTAATTCATGCACATCTTGCTTTCTGACACTGACTGCAATCCCCAGGATGTAACAGCACTCTTCCCACTTCCTTCTTGTGTTTAATTTCCATTCTTGCTTCTTCCAATTCCTCCCAAGAACCCCAGCTCCAGAAAACCTAAACTCACTGCCATCGAGTCATTCATAATGACTACATTATCAGGGTACAACTGCCCCTACGGCATTCTCCAAGACTGTAACTCTTCATGGGAGTAGAAAACCTCGTTTTTTCTCTTGTAGTAGCTGGTAGCTTTGAACTGTTGACCTTGTGGTTAGCATGGTTAGTTGTGTGATTCTCTCCTAGACTCCTATTAGAGTAAACCAGCCCCTAACAATGTGTAACAGTGGTAGTTGGACACCATCTAGTTCTTCTGATCTCAGGAGTGTAGACACTAATTTTTGTGTGGTCCACTAGTCTACAGGATTAATTGCCTTCTGGCAATTAAAATCTTTTGCATTAGAGCCCATCACCCAGGATAAAGTGTGGGCATCTGCTTTTGCAGCCCCCACAGGTTATTGCAGCACCCCCCTGGGGGGCAGTACTACCCCTTTTAGGAAATACTGCTCTAGATGTTGGAAAAGGAAAGAAAAGATTCTCCCCTAGACTCCTGTTAGAGCAAACCAGCCCCTAACAAAATCACGGGGTCCATAGGTGCAATTGTATGGCAATAAAATATAGTAAAGTCATAGAAAATAGGAGATAAGAGAGAGTGAAACGAAGGAGTCAAACACATCATGGTAGCATGCTCACCTGAGCCCCTCTTGGTGGTGCACGTGGAGGTGGGAGATGAGGAGGAGAAAGAGAGATGTATATTTCTAACCAAGGCTTATATATCTTTAGGGGGTGTGCAAGCCCCAAGTTAGGGAATATAGTCCTAGGCATATTTCCCTCAGTGTTATTTTCCCACAGATTCCATAGGCATGCAACCAACACTTTAGGTCAGTGAGACGCACTTCTTCAGAATTATAAGACAATAAAAGTTATATTGTTTGACACTGAATTTGTGGTAACCTGTGACATCAGCAATATGAAACTAATATGCTAAGCAGTAAGTAACCTACAAAGCAATGCATAATTTCCGTTCCGAATATATTCTAACCATATACCAACTACGTATGTTCTCAAGCCACATGCTTGTGGCATTTTTCCAAAAAGATGGACGTTCCAGTGTTATAAAAAATAAAATCAAGGAACAACATGAGTGATAAATGAACCCTTCTACTCCACACTTTAAAATGAGGAATGTGCACAATCATCCATCAACTATCAGGCTGGCCACGTTCATTTCTGTCAGTAACTCCCCTATAAACTTAACTCCTCTCTATTTCTAGTAAAAAGCAAGGCCAAGCAAATTAAAACGATGTTCAGAGAATCTAAAGTAATTGCAAGTTTACCGATCTGATAATTAAAGCCCATAATATCCCTGAAACTGAAGGGTGATCCCTGACCAGATCACACTGTTGTACCCAAACTCACTGCCAGTCAATGCCAACTCACAGCGACCCTGTGGGACACAACAGAATGGGCTCCTTAAGATTTCCAAGATGATGAAAGTTCATGAGAGCAGAGAGCCTCATCTCTCCAGATAGGTTGGAGGGTTTGAACTGTCGACCTGTGGTTAGCAGCTCAATGATTAACCCACTGTGCCACCAGGGCTCCTAACCCATTGTACATCATGCTCATATCCTTCCTGACCCCACCTCTCTATTAATTACGATTGTGGGTCCAATCCTTAGAGGCACTGGGCTATTACAAGGGCCAGGAAGAAAAGGCCTAAAGTAGGTTATGCACAAGCATTTGTAACTGAACAAGTCTATGCTGCACTCATTCGGGAACATTCCACCCACCTCCTTACATAGCAGAGACCAACTACCACCTTCCCTCTTCGCAAGTCAATTCATTACCGTAATTTAAGCTCATTAGTTGTAGAGGAAAGGCAGCACAAGTTATAACTATCAAAACGGTAGGCCCATATGATCTTTCGGAAACCCATAGGGACAGTTCAACCCTGTCTTACAGGGTCGCTATGAGTCAGTGAGGGACATTACTGCCAGATCGATGAACTTGTTTTTGCAAGAGAGCAGAATCAACTCAATGGCGACAGGTTTATCCCATGAGCAGCTCCAGAGGCAGGCCCTTCAATCTGGACTCGGAAGAGAAGGTACGTGGTACTGGGGAATTTCAGGGACAACTTCCAAGTTTATTCCGGGCATGAACCCCATCCACTGTTGTTGAGCTGGTTCTGACTCTTCTGTAGGGGTTTCACGGTGGCCAAGCTTGAGACCCACAGACGGACTCACGGCTCTCCCAGAGAGCAGCTGGTGGGTTCCCAGCCTTGTGCTTCACTCGCTGCACCACCAGGGCTCCTTGGGCTTTTTTTTTTTTTGGCTGGGGGGTGGGGGTGGGGTGGCTACTATGCTGCCTCTTTTCTGCCATTAAAGGGGCATCTGCTAGGCTCTCATCCAAACACCTTACTCCAGGTGGCAACCAGGCTGTTTTGGAGCCAGTAAAGGCTCAACAGCCTTAATATCAACCTTCAATCTTCAAGAAGGCTTGCTTTGTCTTTTGCATTCCCGGTTTACCTCAAACCCTTTCTTCTTTTGATGCCTCATTAGCTGCCACTATGCCCCTGCCACCCATACCCTGCAGGGGGAAAGCCTAGTCAGTGAAAGGGTAATCATCTCAGGATTGGCAGGGGTCTCCACACGACTGCTCCGGCACTCAGGGCTGCAGCACGGTAGGTCCCTGTGGCTTCAGCTCAGAGATGTCTTGCAGGAAGTGAGCCTTGGAAGCAAAAGCAGTTAACTTGCTAAGGCAACTTCACCCTGGACTGACCTTCACAAAGCAAGAGACCCGAGAACTCGAAGTGCGAGGCTGACCAAACCATGTATCTCTCTACCCTTCAAATAACCCCACCTGTGTTTATCAGCTTGCTTGGGATGATAAATTAACAACCTCAGTGACCAACCTTGTTATGTTTGGCCCAATCATGTAACAATTTTCTCTTTTTGTGGTTCTAAAAATAAAAACAAATCACGCCTCAACAAGCCATCATTGTAATTGGCATACACATGAAATATTCACACATCCAGGAAAAGGCCCCGTTTTAAAGCAATCTCCAGCACAATAGAAGCTAATGCTTTAATCCTTTCCCTGGGTCCTTCATGCAAGTCATCTCATCATCCTAGTGCCTCCCCTCGGAGCACCAGTTATCCCTTTCTAATCACCAGAAGTCCTGGCGTGCAGCGGTTCCGTGGTGGGCTGCTACCCACAGCTTTAAAAGACTGGCCACACTACTGAGAAAGGGGAGGCACTTTCTACTCCCACAGGGGCAGTCCTACCCTGTCCTATGAGTTCTACCCGGTCCGCTTCGAGTCAGACTGGACTCGATGGCAGTGAGTGTTAATACTTTATTTCTAATTTACATTTAAATGTATAGCATTGGTTTGCCTTTGGGGCTAAATGGTCTTGTAATCCATAGGCATCATTTAGGGAAGTAGAAAGTGCCTGCATAATTTAGCACAACTGTTTCTTGTTATTATTTAGTAAAGAGAGGAATATAAAGTTAACCCTCTAGTAACCTTTCAGCGGCTATCCCTCTCCACCTGCCTGTAACCAGCCGTCTCTGTGCTACCTGTCCCATTCTGCACACTGCCTTCCTTCATAAGGGTCTAAGACTTGGAGGTAGCTTTCAAAATTCAGGGTATCATGGGGGATATTCTAAATGCTATTTGAATCAATAACTCTGCTAGAAACACTTCCCACATGCTTTAGAAACAAACCGCAGAACTCTGCTCAGCTCAAGTTAAAATGACCTATTTGGCCAGAAGGGAACTTCCAGAGCTGGGAACTATTACAAGGGGCCCAAACAGAATCCAAGAGACTGCCCAATATATCCATCCAGCTGGACCAGGACTCCCACCACAGTACTGAGAAGAGATTACAGAACCCAGCTGAGCACTACGTCTAGTGCTCACTAGACGATCCACTGCCAGTCACAGAACAGAACGACTTACTCTACAGGGTTTCTAATACTATACATCTTTCCAGGAGCAGACAGCCTCCTCCTTCTCCAAAAGAGTGGCTGGGGGTTTTGAACTGCCAAACCTGCGGTTGGCAGCCCATTTCACCCACTGCACCACCAGGGCTTTTAGACCAGCATGTTGTTGTTAGGTCTTTGCTGGAGTCAGCTCCACAGGAGAGTAGCTGGATTCACAACAAAATGAAACACTGCCTGGTCCTGAATCATCATCACAATCGTTAAGTTTGAAGCCCATCATGACAGCCATCATGTTAATCTATCTCCCCAACATGACAGCTATCATGTTAATCTATCTCCCATCATTACAGCCATCATGCTGATCTATCTCCCCAACATTACAGTCATCATGTTAATCTATCTCCCCATCATGTTAATCTATCTCCTTAAGGGTCTGTCTTCCTCTCTTTTACTTATCTACTTTTTACCAAGTGTGATAGTTAGGTTTTGTGTAAACTAGGCTGAGCCAGGATGCCTAATGATTTTGCAATGAACATC